ACCATGAGTTTGAATGGTTAATTATGATTAGTAGTGAAGATATTTCAATTCAGATAATCCAATAAAGTTTATTGTTGATTCTACTTTCCAACTTTCCTTACCAATATTTAAAATCTTCATATTTTAGAAATAGGGCTATATTATCTCTTACATTAGCTATCATTGAAAAAGTAAACAAATATATGTTGTTCCTACTTCCCAAAGAGAAAGTTGTATACTTCAACTTTGATAGTGTTATTAAAGATGATTGGGATATGAATTTAATTAATGACTTGTGCTATACAAATTTTTCAAATTAAATTACAATATCAAGCCTCCTAAATTATGAAACAAGACTTAAAGTGGGTGTCCTTTAATGTGAATCAAAACATTGATAAGTTTATGGGGTTATGTAATGGTGCATGTCTTATAGTTACATCAGCTAAAAAACATGTTATTGAAGCCTAATAAATGTTTGAATCAATTACAAGGATGAAAGTATGTATATCACATACTATTATATGTTTATCTAATTTAAGGTTGTCATTTACTATGAAAAAGAGGTAATTTTCCATTATGTTGGCTTTTGCAATGTCCATTAATAAAGGCAGGGACTAGATCTTATGTCATATTGGTTTGTTCATTACTCGTTCTGTTTTGCTAATGACTAATTATATGTTATTATTTCTCATATTCAAAACATGAAGAGTCTAAAAATATTAGTTCTTGATAAGGATAGTCGCTTCAAAGATATAACCTTTAATGTCATTTATGGGAATATCTTTGATAATTTGATCTAAATAATTATGATTTTTTGTTAACTTACTTCTCATCACATTCATTTACACAATATGCACTTAGTTTTTACTATTTACTTTACTCTTATATGTATATTGAATATTAATGACTATAATTACACAGCCCATTACGTATAAGATGATATATATAGATAAAATGTCTACTACAAATTATTTTTTTGAACCTATTTATAAAAATGGTAATATAAAACCTGTGCATCGCACATGTATTTTGCTAGTTTTTAAAAAGTGTAAAAGAAAAAATTGGCCCCTCAACTATAAGTCCAATAGTGTCTGGAATCATTTGGTGTAACATTCCCTTTGAACTTTTTTTTTAAAGAAACAGAGGCAAGAAAAAGGTTGAAAAGAAAGGCTAGAAGAAAAGCTCCTTATCATAAAAACCAACTAAAAACTTAAAACCTAGCTTGAGATTTTTCCCTAAGGTATTAATCCAAGCAAGTAGAAGGAATTGTGAGAATCATCAAGATCCCATTGTAAGCATCGTGACCAATTCATGCCAAAAAAATTAGCACAGGTAAAGTTTTCACTTTTGGTGTAATGAAGTCTAGCTTCCCAATCCATAAAAAGTAAGTTATGAATCCTATTAATCTCACCTCACAATGGATGATCAATTAGACAATCCCTATTCAGTAAGTTCAATGCCTCAAGTGAATCAAAATATATTTAAATCTTGGTAAGATTGAGTTGTTTAGATAGAAGGAGTCTCGTCTTGATTGTACCAAGTTCAACTTCAATAACAGTGTTTAAACCTGTAACTTGTTGAAAACGCATGACCCAACTCCTACAAAATTTCATAATACCCCATCACATGTTGCTTGATGTTCCTTAAGGATAGATCTATCAACGTCTATGCGAATGACATCTATTAGGGGAGTTGTCCAATTTGATTCTTATCCATGCAGTTGATGAAAATCCTTACGTTGGAGTTCATTCCTAATAGTACTTTCCATATGTCAACAGTCAATTGTTCTAGTGGCAATGCCATCTCCCTCTTTTGGAAGAGATCTTGGGTTCAAACCTAGCATTGATGTGCTTGTGTGCATGTGCAGGCGCGTGTGCATCCATTTCCTATAGGAAAGGGTTAGGTTAGGGTAAATTTTTTTTTAAAAAATAGTAGTTTCCATGAGGAGATGAAGGCGTTGATGATAGATCTTATTTGCATGTGTAACTTGGCCCTAAAAAATGAATTTGCATCTCAAAGTCCAACACACTAGAGCAAAAACCCTCATCCACAACCATGATCCAATCTTCCTTTCCCAAGCATGCTTCAAATTCCAACTTAGCCAACCTTGTAAATTTCCATTGAAAAAACTAGAAAGATTGTTAGTTTTTAAAATAAGCAGCCACATTGCTTTGGCATGCTCACAATCTAACATGTTATTAACAAAAGTTAACTTTCACTATTAATTAACCAGAAAATGACAAAAAAGATTTCAAAATTATAAAAAAAGGACTAATAAAATTCTGTAATTTTTTGGTCTTTTACAATACTTTTTGGTCCTTTTATGTAATTTTTGATATCTTTTCTTTTATTTTATGATTAATTAATCATTAAAATAAACTTTTATTAATGGTAAAGGTTAAATTGTACTATTTTCAAAACCTAAAGGAGAACTTTGTACTAATGTGCACTTGAACATTTAGTTTAAGGGTCAATTTATTTTTTTTTTACCCTTTAAAATGTATCACATATTTTCTTCAACTATTAGTCATTGCAAAAGCTCATCTCCCTTCCTTTGTACTTTGCATTTTGGCTTTTTTTTTTTTAGGTTTATTGGTATTGTAGTTTTACATTGTCATGTGATGCAATTATTTTTTTATAAATTAAATTTTTTTAAAAACAATTAATTTTTAACAATATAAATTAACATTAAAATTATATTTTATGTTTTAGCTATTTTAAAATTTAAATTTTATTTGTAAATATATATTCTTTTTTTAATGTTACGGTATTACGTTAACATATTTTTTTTAATCAGCGATGTTAAAGAACCCATTATTAATTTTTATTTTGATTTAGAGAGGTAATGATAGTAAATGGTAGACATTTTTCAATTAAATTTTTACATTTCAAATAATTGTTCGAAAGTTCTTATCATACATGCCAACTTTAATTAGTTTTAAAATAATTTATATAAAATAAAATGTTAATCATATTTTTTATATATTTTAAAATAAATTGTGTGAAAATAAAATAAATTATTATTTATATTTATATATTTGAATGACTAAAAATACTTTTATATTGTACTAGGAGTAAAAATATATATGTGTGTGTGTGTGGGGGTTAATAATAGTTGCTAAAGAAACTAAAAAGAAAAAATATCAACCAAAGATCGCTATAATATATTTATATCAATTAAAAACTAATAGATTTTGAAATTTTATTGTAGTCTTTTAACCTTTAAATGATATTAATTTTTTACATAAAATAATTAAATTGCTCCTAAAATATAGTACAGTGAAAAAAAGCCACCTTATTGTCATTGGAGCTTTGAAACTAATGACTGGTGGCACTTTTATTTTTTAATTCGCGAGGTTGGAAAAAGAGGGGCTTAATCCCATAACCTAATGACCATCTGAAAAGTTTAGTGACCACTAAACTACCATGCCCCCATTTAATAATATATAACAAAATATATGCAATAACTAAATTTCTAAACCACTTCTATATTATATCATAATAGTGTATTGTTACTTTTAAATTATTATTTGTTATTTTATTAATGTTATTTGTTAATTTGACATAGTTAATTGTAAAGTAAGATCTTTAAAATTTCATATATTTTACTTATTAAAATCTGAATGTACTATTGTTGATGCCAAAATGGTTATTTTCAAAATGTGAATAGATACTTATTGATGAATAATTAACACTTGTATAATTAAACCCATCCTATTAACTTTTTGTTAAAATTCAAATGAATTATTTTTAATTTCAAACAAGTTATTTAAAATTCGAATGGATATTTATTAATGAAAGATTAGTGCTTGTACAATTAAGCTTATTTTGTCCATTTTTTAAATTGCTAAAGTCCAAATGAATTATTATTAATTTCAAACCAATTATTGTTAAAAAATGAATGGATATTTATTGGTAAAGGACTAACATTTATATAATTAAACTCATCTTTTTTGTTTTTCTAATTTGTTAAAGCTTCAATAAATTGTTGTTAATTTTGAATGTATTGTTGTGTAAGCACAAATTGATACTTGTTGATGAAGGATAAATACTTGTACAATCAATTAAACCCATCCTTCATTGAACAAGTATTACTCATTCATTAACAAATATCCCTTCTAGCTTTCACAATAATGCATTCAAAATTAATAATTATTCGGGCGTTAATAAGTTAAAAAATATATATAAGATGAGCTTAATTGTATAAATATTAGCCTTTTATTAATAAGAATTTATTTAAGTTTTAACAATAATTCATTCAAAATTAACAATAATTCATTCAACGTTTAACAAATTAGAAAAACGGATAGAATATGCTTAATTACACAAGTAGTAGTCCTTTACAAATAAGTATCTATTTAGGTTTTAACAACAACTTGTTTGAAATTAACAATAATTCATTCAAGTTTAAAAAAAATGATGGGATAGGCTTAATTATACAAGTATTAGTCATTCATCAACAAATATTCATTCGTGTTTCGACAACAACTATTTCATGATTAACAACAATATATTTAACTTTAATAAGTAAAATATATGAAGTTTTAAAAATCTCAACTTATAATTGACCATGTCAGATTAATGAGTAACATAAATAAAGTAACAAATGATGTTATGAAATTAACAATACATTATTATGTTATACCATGAAAATGGTTTAAAAGTTTGGTTACTTCATGTATTTCTTTCGGTATATATTATTAAATGGGCTAAGCCACCAAATTTTTGAGGTGGCTTATGGGTTATAAGATCAAACTCTTTCTTATTACTTCTGTCAATTAAAAAAAATAAAAGTATCACCGATGTTAAAGCTCCGATGATTCGATGGTTGGAATAGTGGGATTAACTTTTTTATTATTATTTTATATTTTAAAAATAATTAAATTATTTTACATAAAATTAATATTAATGAAGAATTAAGGAAGTGCAGTAAAATTTCAGAATCTATTAAACCTTTTGCTTATATATACATGCAGTGGTTCTCGGTTGATATTTTCCTGATTATTTATTACAAAATCAGTCTCACTGAAGTCAACCTTTGACTCTTCAAAGCCATGGCGCGCAAAGCAACGGCACCCTAGTCTCCGGTGGCTCTTGCCATTTCCATCAACACCGAACCAAACCTTCTCAGTTTCTCTCTTCCCCGGTCCCTCCTCAAGCTTCATAGCCAATTCTCGCCGTTAAATGACGTCAGCAAATCTCTCTTCGCCGGTGGCTTCTGCCGTACAATCCATCCACCGTTTATTGACTGATCTCTGCGACCACGAACACCATTACTCATTCGAAAATCCACGACGGTTCTCGGGGTTGGCTCGGCGGCTTCATCTTGTCGTCAACCAGCTACTCCTGTCTGTTCAATCACCGTCGCTGGAGACCTTACCGTCGTCGGTGCAGACCGCCCTGAAGGGAGTGTCCGGCGATCTATCCAAGGCTGCAGAAGTTGTTTCCGTCTATGAGAAAAGCAGCAAGATATTTGTATTGATCAACTGCAAGTCCCTCTGCTCGTCCCTTCTGGAGCACACCTTCTCCATTGGAGGATGGCTCGCCTTGCTTGATGAGGCTCTTCAAGACCATCCCGACCTCCAAAAGAAAGCTTCTGATCTCTCCAGAGACATGAAGCTTGCTCAGTTCAGAGTAATTAGCCCTTTTCTCTTTATTCCGAAGAAATGTAATTTTTGTTTTCTTCTAAATTATTTTGTGCTCAATACTATCCTGAGATCTTCCAATTTTTGGAATATATATTCATCATACCTCAGCATCTACATTAATCGTTTTCTTTTTATTTTGTTTAAGATGAAGCATAAATTTAGTAACTCAGCTTTGTATCTCAAATTTCACTAATGTGTTTGAAAGTAGGTTACAGCGAACGAAGAGAGAGTACAATGTACGCTGGAAAAAGAAGGGACAGGAAGACCAACAACCAAGGCGGTGCAGAGTGCTATAGTAATGGATTTGGCTCGCTCTTTGGGGATTGACCCAGGTGATCATATTGAGTTGTCTAACGAAATAAAGCTGTTCAAGAATGACCTATTGCGCTCAAATTCTGTAACGGAGCGGCGGATTTTAACTTCCCTTGAAAGGATTTTGAATAACTGGTCTATTGAACCTGACATTGAGACTCGAAAATTGGACTTTGACCTTGAAGATGATGCAGCGATTTTTCCCTTTAAAAATTTTCTTTGCCCATTGACCAAGGAAGTGATGAAGAACCCCGTGGTTGTGGAAACGTCCCAGACCTATGAACGGACTGCTATAGAGTACTGGTTCGAGAGGTGTATTGAGGATGCTCGTGATCCAACTTGTCCTGTCACTGGAAACGTTCTCAAATCCTTGGAACTGAAACCCAATATTGGACTGGCAGGGGCAATAGAAGAGTGGGTTAACAGGGTTGTGGAGTATCAAGTAAAATCCGCTGCTGAGCACTTGACAGAGGAGCCACTTTGTATTGATCACGTTGAGCGAGCTTTGGATAACATTTATAAGGTTTCAGAAGAGCATCCTGCTAGCAGATATGTAATCAGGAATGCTGGAATTGTGCAACTGATAGTGAAGCTGCTTACTAATAGCTCAAAGATTATTGGATCACGGTTGAGAAGTAAAGCTCTGATGGCTTTAGTTACTTTGGCTAAAGATGAAGAAAGCAAGGCCAGTCATTCTATATGTTTTTTTAATATTTATAATTTTTTTTTTAATAAGTGAATGAAACAGACTTATTCCTCTTCCTACCTTTCAAAGGATAGAATAGCCGCATATGTAGATTGTTAAAATAACATTAATCCACTTTTTTGTTTAAAAATGGAAAGAATGGTGTAATATAATATTTTAGTTGGCTACGTATTAATCATAATTTATGTGAGCGTTCGTTGCCATGATATGAAATCATAACCGCTGCCATAAATCAGAATATATAGCGTTTGTTTTGTTCAGATTTCTCTGTTAGAACCTGATACTGATTCACTTTGGAGAGAATTTTCTATCTAGATTCTCAAACTCTTTCAGAATCCTAAAATAGTGTATAGCTATGTAATTTGGTTACGGTACCATGGCAACACTTCTAAACCATGTACTGTTCTGGTAGTTAATGTCGCCTTTCTATAACTACTTTGCAAGTTGAAGGCATGGAAATTCCCATGTTTAATTAAATACTTTGAGCTCCATCCAATATGATATGATATAAACCACTGCAGGAAGCCAGGAAGTGAATAAGCTAGTAAACTACTAAGAAAAGCCTAATAAGAAGCACAGTCAGTGATACATATGATGGCATGCCAAAACTAAACGTCCAAGTTGTTGACAATAATTTCTGACACATCAGACATGACTCAAGTCGTTCATTAACTGTGGCTGTGTTTGTTATTAGCAAATATGGTCAGGAGACTTTTCATATTTCAATTTTATATATTCCTCTTAATTGTTTCTTTTAAAATGTGTGTTTTCTTTTTTTAAGCCTCTGCTGAAACTTCTTGTTGCATGATTCTTTAGATGCTGTTATCGGTGACAGAGAGAAGTTGTCTTGAAAACTAACTTGGAAAAGGAATTAATTACAAACTATCACTTCTACTGTATAAAATTTTTTTCTGCAAAGTGATGACTCATTGTTCTTTTGGCAATAGTGTCGCAAGTTTCTGACACGTATATTGTGGCTTCTGATGCTAAGTTTTGTGTATCTCTAGAAAATAATGCTTGAAGGGAGTGTCACAAGGTTGGCAGTACATAGTCTTATTGGTAGCACAGAGAAAGAGAGAGAGTATGCTGTGAAGTTATTACTGGAGTTCACCAGTGATGAAGCTTGTTGCATAATGGTTGCATCAGAGAAAGGGGCATTAGTTCTCCTCACAAGTATGGCAGGAAATTTAGAGTCTCCTGCTTTGTCCAAGTTAGCTGAGGAAGTCTTAAGGCAGTTGGAGAGGGTGGAGGATAATGTGCAGCGGTTAGCAGCAGCGGGAAGATTTGAACCTTTACTTTCACGGCTGCATGGTGGTATGTATTCTAATTTCTAATAGTTTCTGTTCATTCCAACTTCAAAAAAAATACGCTAATGATGATAAATCAGCTTTTTAAGGCATTTGCTTTTGTAGAAAGCAATAAAACCCTAAACAATTTGAAATTGGATAAATTCTGGGGCAGGACCTGATACTGTAAGGATAGAGATGGCATCTCTGCTTGGAAGGATGACCTTGACAAACAGCAATAAAGAGCAAATTGCCAGGCAAAGTGCTGGAGTACTTGTTGACCTGTTGTCGAAGTCAGAGGGAAGAGAACCAAGTCTGCAAGCATTATATAACTTGTCAGGATTGGATGACAATGCAACCATCCTTGTTGAGCCTCCAGTCTTTCCATCTCTTATTGGTGTTCTTTTTGATGACCAGGAGCCTTCAGATGAAATTAAAACATTAGCTGCTTCAACAATTGCAAATATAGTATCAAAGCCGGGGCGTTGGGAATTAGCATCAGCTGACACAAAGGGGAATTCAATGCAGTCAGAAAACATTGTTTTCAGACTTTTGCAACTTTTAGACTCAGTGTCTTCTCAATGTCAAGTATATGTTCTTCGCATTCTCTATGGAATAACATCATCCCCGCAGGCGTCAGGTAATTTCTAGTCAGCTAGCTTATAATATATTAATAGCATAATCATATTGCAGTATTCTATCATGTGCTCGTTAATTATTTCTTGTACTGCATCTCATGAAATGTTTGATCAGTCTGTTTCTTTTTGAACTTCAACAAGTATTAGGTTTCGATTAGTTTAGTAATAATTACATGTATAAATACATCCAGAGGATGCTACTGTAATGGAATAAAATAATGAAGTGAGAATACTTGCACTATACAGCTATGTGCAATTTATGCATCTGCCTCTAAATTGGCCGGTATTGCACGGTGCATGATGCCATGTATTATTTATTTATTTATTTATTTTTACAGAGTCAGTAGCTTTGCATATAAAATCTGGGGATGGCTTTAAAACGGTCGCAAACTTTCTTGAACACCCAGAAGTCGAACTCAGAATATATGCTCTGAAGCTTTTGAGGCTACTATCTGAACTGTTCAGTCAAGGTCTAGGAAATGAGCTGAGACTTTCTAACAAGCTCACCATACTCAAAGAAAAAATGTTAGATGACCAATCTGCAGAGGACGAGAGAGCAACAGCAGCATGTATACTTGCCAACCTTTCCTTAACAGAAGATGAATTAAAATCACTTTTAGGAGGTGATTTCATTAGATGGATCGTCGCTACTCTTCAGAATCAGAGGCGCGGCTCCAATGCAAGGGTTTCACGGACTGCGCTAGGCATGCTGGAAGGTCTTCTTGGTCTCTTACTTCAGTTCACTAGGAGCCTTAATGAGCAAACTCTTACTGTTGTCAGAGAAAATCATCTCATGACCATTTTCTGTCAACAGCTGGAATATAATTCCAAACCAAAGGTCAAAAGACTTGCAGCCCTTGGATTAAAAAGCTTATCAGAATTTGGAAGGGCAGTTATTTCAAGGGACTCTGAACCCTCACCTTCTAGTGGGTTTTGCTCTCCCTTCTTGTTCATTTGTGGAAGGACATCTAATCAAAACTTTTCATGTCCATTTCACAACAGTCCCTGTGAGGAAGAAAGTCAATTGTGCCTGTTTAAGACCAGCTGTATAAAGCCTCTAAATGATCTCTTCAGTGATAATGATACTAGTGTCCAAGTTGCTGCGGTGGAGGCACTTTCAACACTGATATTGGACTATTCGTCAAATAGCTTTAAGAGAGCAGTTGATGAGCTTGAGCAATTGGGTGTGGTTGATTCTGTGATCAAACTTTTCACAGAGGCTAGCTCAGGGGAACTTCAGGAGAAGACCATTTGGATCATAGAGAAAATACTGAGAGTGGAAAATCACATACCTAAGCACTCACTTAATCAGTCTCTTGTGAGGGGCTTGGTTGAAGCCTTTAAGCATGGGAATCCCAACGCCAAGTTGCTTGCTCAAGATGCTTTAACCTACCTAAAGCAAATATCAGTTCTAAGTGAGAGGACATCAAGTCAACCTCGAGCTCGGAGGTAATGGAAGGTGTAATTTTTGTCCCCATTATTCCTTCTATTTTATTTTGGGATATTATCCCTCTTGTTCTTTTGTTGTAAAATGAAAGAATCTCTCTATGATCTCACAAATACATGTAAAAAAACAAAAGGGGGAGGCTACAAGACTTGCTTGTTCATCTTGGCCACAAATGTTTATAATACTTGAATTCTTTACATCTCCCAGTGATGTGTACTTGTGTAAATAATTTCAAGGATAGTTCTTTGTGCTAGGCTCCATTAAAGTTTTTTCAATGTTAGGTTAGGTTATCAATACTGAGGATTTTTTTAAAAAAGGAATTCAATGATATTGAATTATAATTTTTTTTTATTGAAATAGTAATATCATTTACGGTCCTTTTTCTTATTACATAGCAGGCAATGGATGCTAATGGATATTTTGAGATTGGGTCACTGGCCATTGGTCAGGGCCTCAACCCATGTGTATTGGGCCAATGTTAGCTCAAAGGCCCAATGCTCTTCCTATTTCTGCCTGACTGACACATTTTCTTGTCTGTTCTGCAGGATTTGAAAAATGAGATGTATTATTCATGATTTGTAACTTGTAAGTAACGTATTCTTTTATAATTATTTTATTTTATATTAATATTAATCTCACTTAATAGGATAAGGTTTATTGTTGTTGTATATTAATATTTATAGGAAAAGTGGAGAACTGTGATAGTGACTATTTGGCCCGTCTGTAATGAAATCAAATGACAAAAATAAATTTAATGAAGAAAAATTATTTAATTTTTAAATGAAAATTCTTTTTAAAAATTTAATATTTTTAAGGATAAAAAATATCAATAAATATAAAATTTTCTAAAATTGTGACATGGTCTTCTCGATATTTCAATGTTGGAAAAATCTTTTTGATTTTAACTTAAGAAAGCGATTCCAATTTTTTTTTTTTATCATGATGATGTATACTCCTTATAGTTCCTCTAGTATGAAATATGAGATATTTTTTTTCATTATTTTATAAGGATTAAGAAAAGTATTTAAAAATGGTTTGTATCCTTAAAATGGTGTTAAAAAAAAAAATCAACTCAATGAATGTGTAAATGGGAGGACGTTGGTTTAATCTGCTTATAATTTCAAGTCATTAATGCCTGTACTGCAATTCAAAAATTAAAAAAAGAAAAAGTTTACCTTCCAATTAGAATCTATCTACTTTAATTTTTTAAAATATGGTTTCTCTTTACAATAAAATTAATGAGGGATTTGTGAAAAAGAAGAAGAAGAAGAATTTAACGTTACTAACTTTTTTCCGAAGTACCTGACCTTTTAGACCAATACAAGCAGATATAGAAAGTGTCATACGTTTTGTACAGGAGGGAGTTTACTATATTTAGAACAGAGTGGAGAAAATTTAAAGAGTATGAAGAGAGCTAATCTCACACTATCAAACCTTTATGTGTCACTTACTCTTCAAACACATGACTATAGAGAATTCCATTTACTTTAAGAAAACATTAGCTAAAACTTAGCACAAGCAATAACTTCTAAAATTCTGACGAAAGAAAAAAAGAAAAAATAAAACTTCTAAAACATTTCAGGGGCAGACCGAATAGAATAACTTCGAAAACATTAATAACAACTATGATATTTATGAAAAAAAAATAATTGTCAATATCCTTTGAATCAATTATTATTATTCGTTGTAGATCTTTACAAGAAATTTGAGTCCAAAAAGGGAAAAAAAAAAAAAACAAATCCGTAGGATTGAAGGAACCAAGTGATTTTAGAAGGGAGAAAAGCATGGTGTACATTCATCCCACTAAGTAAAAAGGATGATCCAAAGGCAAGCATCAATAAGTGAAGCTTTTGTAATTTTTTGTTATTACAAAAAATTTAGATGAGTTAGATTCGAAGACTTACCAAGTTAGAGCATGCTTTTAGATTTTAAAAAATGCTTATATAAATATTTATAAATTATCATTTATTAACAAGATCATCAAATTGACAGCAAGATCTCTCACAACCTCATAAATTATGAGTCAAATTTTTATTAATTTAATCAATATTTGTTAATAAACTTTTGTATTTTTGTTTGATGCTTCACAATGATTGTCAACTTTTTCTTTTGAATAAAGTAGCATCCACATTGTTAAAAAGCTATATGGGTAGGTATAGAATATTAAAAAAGATTTGATAAACATGAACTCGCAAGTGAATTACACCCCACAATTATATTCTAGAAGTACGTTCATCATGTGCTCATCACCCCTAAAACAATCTAGATCATCTAGATCAGATTAAACTACATTTTTTATTTTTTTAAATAAAAAGTTATAAATTTTAATAAATTTATTGATTATCAATATGCACTGTTTATATTTAATCAAATCAGTCTAAATTTAATATTTTTTTATAAATTGATTATAAAGATTTACTCTGATTTGTTTTGAATCTTATAGTTATTTTGAATATGAACAGTACAGAAAAAATCTATATGGTCAATCTGACAGTTATTTTGAATGTGAATAGTACATAATAATATTAAATTTGAACTGATTTGATTAAATATGAATGCTACATGTCGATAACAAATATATTTATTTAAAATTTTATAAAATTTTATTTTAAAAATATAAAAATAAAAACTAGTTTAATCTAGACCATCCAAATTGTTTCAGGAATTATGAGAGCATGCGGTGCTCATCAATCTGCTCCCTTATATTCTGGTGCTAAGTAATTTGTATTGCTGTGACAAATCTCACTGTCTAAAATATGCAACTTATCACCTAAATCTTTTTCTTTTTAAAAATATTTTATTTTTATTTTCTTTAGTGATGTCGATTGATTTTTGAAAATTCATATTAGGCCTCAACTAAATTGAAATTAAGTCAGGTGAAACCATACAAGTGTAAAGCTTTGTCAATAACAATAATTTTTGTTTTATTACATAGCGCTTAAACTTGAGTTAAACTTTTTGTTGGTACAAAAGAGATAATAGAATTCTAGACCACAATATAAATGTATTTATATATTTTTTGTCTGGATGTTTATATATTTGAGGATAACAAATATAATTTGTTCCTACAAAAGCACATTTTTTTTTTAAAAAAATTTTTACCAATAGGTTGAAGTGGTTTGATACTCGTCCTCTTTCAGCTTGATTTTTATAAACTTTGTAAATAGAGAGTTTTACAATCATATACTCTCAATGAAACTATTTATGTTTTATTTTTTTATAAGCAAAACTATAAATTTAAAGAATTTTTATCTCCTATAAATTCATAATATCATTAAATTATAGAAAAAAGTAAACATTAATTACATGCCATTTTAGTTTAAATATTTCAATTTGAGATATAATCATTAGGATTGACTAACTTTCTTAAATTGTAAAAATTAATTAAAACTCACTTATATTTGAAACCATATAGTACAGTCCAACTTGATTCAATTTAAATTAAAGTCAATGTGACTTTAGATTCAATTTAAATTAGTTAAAGTCAACGTGACTTTAGAAACTAGTTGGTTTATTAAATATCTTGGTTGTTACAACATCCTCCCAAAATTGTTCTAAAAATAAAATGAACAGAAAATTACATTTTTTGCAACAACAATATCCATACTTTGGCTTTTTGAATTTATTCAATAATATATTTATCACTAAATCCACATTCCTAATAACTCTTGGAATCTTGGTCAATTGAAAGTTACAATTGAATAAAAGGTTAATATGCAATGTAGACCTTGAACTTAGGTCCAGCGACAACTTAAAGTATATACTCATAAAAGGTACATTTTAAACCCTAAATAATCAAACCTAAGGTATCTTGGCCCTTACCATTAATTGCATCCAACATTGATCATGAGAAACTTTTTTTGACCAGACTTTACTTAAGTGTCATGCCAATTATGCAAGTCAAAGTTTCCAAATTGGTAGATTAGTAATTTCACAATTTTTTTACTTTTCCTATTTCTAATTACCCATGAAAATGAAACAATCATTCTCTATCTTATCTAAATCTCACTTTCATCTTTGTTTGAACCCTAAATCTAAATCATTCTCTCTTCATTCCAAGCAAACCTTAAAGTCAATATGTAATTTTGACTGGCAATTGAAGTAGAGGTAAAGATTATTTAGGGTTTTGCAATTTATTCTATTCTCGTACAATGAAATTGCTTTAATGGTGAGCTTGATTGTAGTGGGTCCCATGGTGATGTAGAAAAGATGAGTAATGATGACGGAGCGAATAATGGAGTTGAGTATATTAACAATGGCTCCAACGATGATAGTAGTGATAATGAGTTTTCACTATCTGAGGTATGTTCTATGATAGAAAATGGTAGGGATATTTAGATGAAACATTATCATAGGTTGTTTAGGGATGTAAGAGAAACATTGGGCACTAAGGAAACTGTTAATGAAAATAAAAATGAAATGGGAATAGGGGGAAAAGATGGGAATATAATAGGGAAACTTGATCGGGTAATGGGTGAGAAAGAGATAGCTAATATTGTGAACTCCTTGTATGAATCATTAGAAGATTTTAAAGGTAGTATAAGTTTGGAAAGAAATGTAGTGAATCGGGAGAATAACAGAGATACATTCCTTTATGATTTTGGCATCTAGAATTCCTCAGAGGATGTAGATAAAAGTAGTGATGACTCTGAGTTTAAAATTAAGCATGATAATAGTGAAGATAGCAATGATAGTGATTATTACCAGCCATTTATGGAAGATGAAAGTGTGAGTGAAGAAGAATACGAAACTAAGAAGGAAGAAAGTGATGGAGGACCACATATGGACCCATCCATAGATGATAGGCCTTTAAAGGAAGCTAGAGGTCTACTAGAGGATGGTGGGCCTTGTTTAATGCTTGGTATTACTTGGCCCAATAGTACAAAACTTAGGAAGTTATTGAATACATATGCCATATGAGTTAAGGTTAACTTGAGAATGATTAAGTGTGAGTCTAGAAGAGTTAGGGTCAAATGTTAGGAAACATTCCCGTGTGTTATATATGCAGTCTCTGATAGGAAATACCCAAGACTGAAAATTAGAACCCTATGCATGCAACATAGGTGTCTAAGGGTCTTTAAGAATTCTTCTAAGGGTCTTTAAGAATTCTAGAGCTTATACTAAATAGATAGTTAAGTAGTTCAAGGATAAAGTACAAGAGTGCCCTAAATTCAAAGTTGTAGACATTAAAAAGATATTGGAACATGATTTGAAAGTTAATGTCAGCTTACACAAGTACAAGAGGACTAAAAGGATTATCATGGAAGAGTTAAAAGGCAGCTGCCAATATGAGTTTGGAAAATTGAAAGCTTACTGTGAAGAACTTAGACGTTCAAACTCAAGGACTGGTGTGAAGATATATTTAAGTAAAGATGCACTTCAAGAAGGAAAGAGGGTTTTCAGTAGATTATATATATATATGATGGAATGCATATAAGGTAATTTCTTTAATTTTTCACATAATTTGTCCATAATTTATAGTGATTTCCCATTATTTAATTTATGTAATTATTGGATAGGTTGGATGGAAAGAAAATTGCAGGCTACTTGTAACATCTTGGATTTTAACTCTTGGCTTAAATTAATTAAACACAGGTAAATAGGTAAATTTTAGTATAAATTGGTTT